TGTGTAGCTAGCGCTAAACCAAATTCTCTGTGGCAGCAGATAATGTCTTTCACATTGTTCTTGCGAATACATGCTCCTAGTACCTTTTTGAATTCTTCTCTGCCGAAACAGAGGGTAACAAATATTAACACGTAATTTTAATCTTCCCTGCCTTAACAGAGGATAACCAATTCTTCCCTGCAGCAACAGAGGATAACAAATATTAGCACGTGATGCTAATCTTCCCTGCCTGAACAGAGGATAACCAATATTAGCACGTAATGCTAATCTTCCCTGCCTGAACAGAGGATAACCAATTCTTTCCTGCCGAAACAGAGGATAAGAAATATTAGCACGTGAGCCAAATGCGAAAAAGCTCTACCTCCTTTAGTGGACTTTGCTATCCTAGGTACTACCAAAACCAATTGGTTCATTTGACTAACAATAAGAGAACAGGAACAGACAGGAACCTCTTGCTACACTTTGCTTAAGATAATCATTTGTCTGATGTAATTTACCTTAAATGCTAAATACAATGTACTTCACCTTAGTTTTTCATGTGATGCCATGTCAGAACATAGGATCAGCATATTTTAAACAGATTCTTACATTTGTAATCCCACACTACACACACACACACATGGGCAAAGCTAAACTGTGATGCCAATGAGAAAATTATTTATATATATAACTATCATTACGTGTTAATATTTGTTACCCTCTGTTTCGGCAGAGAAGAATTGGTTACCCTCTATTTAAGCAGGGAAGTTTACACACATACTGTACATACATACATACAATATAATGAAAGGTGGAAAAATAATTTCTTTTTCAAAACGCTGAGTTTTGATTTCTAAGTGAACAAATGATGTAAGTGTTTTAACACATGATAACTGTGTGTAGGTCTTCAGTAAATGAGTGTGGCAGTGTTTCCCAAATGTAACAAGAGAGCTGTTAGTTTTGAGTGATGTGTGTAATGTAGAGAACTGTGTTTAGAGCAGAGATGGGCACAAATGCAAATAACAAAGCACTCATGTTGCTTTATAAAATTAAGGTTAAACTACTGGAGTCACATGGACTATTTTAATGATGTCTTTCCTACTGTTCTGGACCTCGAATGTGTAAGTTGCATGGTCCCAAATGTAACAAGAGAGCTGTTAGTTTTGAGTGATGTGTGTAATGTAGAGAACTGTGTTTAGAGCAGAGATGGGCACAAATGCAAATAACAAAGCACTCATGTTGCTTTATAAAATTAAGGTTAAACTACTGGAGTCACATGGACTATTTTAATGATGTCTTTCCTACCTGGCTGGACCTCGAATGTGTAAGTTGCATGGCTGACTGTGGAGGGTCAGAAAGCTCTCAGATTTCATCAAAAATATGTTAATTTGTGTTCCAAAGATGAACGAAGGTCTTGCAGGTTTGGAATGGCATGAGGATGAGTAATTAATGACAGAATTTTCATTTTTGAGTGAACTATCTGTTACACTTGTGAAGAATGAGGTGGTGCTTGTCCCTCTGGTGCAACACATTTATTGCTGTAAGAAATATGAAAACATTGTTTAGATTAGGAGCACACTGTTTTGCGTGTACATCTGAAGTCACTTAGCATGTATTGAACGCTTCCACTGTATTAGCACTGTAACCATTTTCTTTAACCAAGAATCATAACAATATATCTTCTAGTTGTCACGGAAACACCTGCCTCACCAGCCGAATCAGCCTCCTACACCCGCTCACAATCACCTGATTACTGATCACGGACACCTGCACCCACTTACCACACCACTCAAATACTCACTCACCTCATTCACTCATCGGCTGGTCTCAAGGTTGCAAGCTTCTCTGTCCTGGTTCCTCGCCTTCCGATCTGCCTGTCCCCCTCGGAATCCTCAGTTCTCGGCCGGAGGACCAGAGTGCCGACCCAGATAAGACTGTGTTTTTGCTTCCCTTACTGCCTGTGTTGAACTCTTTTCCGTTGGAAGCCTCTCCTAAGTTCCTGTTATTAAACTCTCTGACTTGCGTTACCCTGCCTGTCTGCCTCTTTGTCCCGGTTGTGACACTAGTGCAAAGGTCTGTGCAAATACTGTACATGACACAGGACACATTATTCTTGACACTGGTGTCCCACTTTAAATACATAAACACTAAAACAAAATAAACTTGAACAGACTGGTGCTCTCTCATTGCTGACACAGAGGTAAGAATAACTAATAACAGTAACGAATCACATTGCATTGCTTTAACAGATTCAGGGAAGTAATGCACAAACTCTATACCCATTCTCCTGATTAAAACCATGAGTTGTCTTGAGAAGAAACATTCAGACCTGACTAATGTATAAAGACATGTGTTATATAACATATAAGGATTCCTGTGAACCATCGTGACTGAGAAGGTGAATTAAAAACAACATCCTTGTTATGAAAAGGCATGTTTTATTAAATAAATATATGAAACAAACAACTACAGCCAAGGAAGATGTTGACAAGTAGCCTCTGAGATATAAAACTTGCAGGAGCACCACATTAATAATCATAAACACATTAGCATAAGGAAGTCAAATCTTGTAGAATTAGTTTTATTCTTAAGGATAAAATGCTGCACCTCAAACTGCATCAGTTTACTGATAGAATGGAAAATGTATCAGCAGTTTCTCAAGATCACCACTAGAGTTCATCACATCATGTGAAGTGTATTATGACCATCAGTAATTATCAACAATCAGATGGACAGGACACTTTATGTTGCTGCTGAAATAAATTAATCTGAAAGAGTGTCAGTGAAGTTAGCAGAGAAGATAAATAGACGACATGCTGCTTAAAACAGTTGGATATATTTAATACGCTGTAGCTATATAAGGCAATGCAAGTCAGCTAATGTCGTTGTAATAATAATAATAATAAACTTTATTTTATATAGCGCCTTTAAAAGTAGCATCTCAAAGCGCTTTACATATATATAAAAATATGAAGTTAAAAGATACACACAACAGTACAGGCAGTAAAGTCTAACCAAACAATACAAAGCCAATATAATAAAAGACAAAGTAATCACATAAATCACATAAAAGCTACCCTATAAAAGTAAGTTTTAAGGGACTATTTAAAAACACTAAGGCATTCTGCATTCCTAATCTCAGAGGGCAGGGAATTTCACAATTTAGGAGCCAAAGAAGAGAAAGCCTGAAAAGAAAGATGTAAAGGAACACATCACTTTCAAACAGCAGAAGCATAATAATACAGGTTTATGTGATCCATATCAGGAAGCATAAAACGATACAAACAGGATGTCAGGCATCTTAGATAATAATCCAGAAACAGGGACAATAAAACTGCAGTGTTAAAATCAGATTTTAAACCTTTAGAAATATAAAAGATAAATTCAGTCTCCAGTCCAGCAGGTGTCGCTGTGAACCTGTTCATCTGTTTGAGAACGGCTAGAGAAAAACAGAAGAAGACGAAAACGAAACCAAAATACGAACTGGTCTGACGTGACAAACAACAACAGTAAAGGACCGAAAAATAGTGCTTCAAATATTTCTAAATTCTCTTCCTTGTGCTCACGACTGCAAGTACATTTAATTTCTTCTCGGTTATTTGGGCTATGTGAAGTTAAGGCCTGTTCTTATTCAGTTTTTCACAGGCTGTTACTCTGATGAAGAACCTGTCAGAAAATACTGTTAATTTATACATAGAACATAACGTTTCTAGGAAGGGGTTTTAAAAACCGAACGTTTCTGAAGTTTTAGGCTGATAAATAATAAACTGCAACACAACAGGGAACAAACTTGGCTAATATCTATTTCCTGAACTTGTAATTAGAGCCGTGCGTCATTAGAGGATCTGAAATTATTGAGATCTTTGTGTGCTACAGTGTAATATATGGCTGTAATTGGTTGATTTTCTGGAGTGATTTTGTGTGACTCTGGTTTCTTCTTGATGTTCCTGAATAAGTGTGATGTTGTTCATCTGCAGGTGACACTGAGCAGCTGAGTGTGTTCACAGCCAGTGCAGATCAGTTCAGCTGCAGTATGTCAGAGGAGCGAGGAACAGAGATCTGTCTCTATCAGAAACACAGGTGACACTGAGCAGCTGAGTGTGTTGACAGCCAGTGCAGATCAGTTCAGCTGCAGTATGTCAGAGGAGCAAGGAACAGAGATCCGTCTCTCACAGAAACACAGGTGACACTGAGCAGCTGAGTGTGTTCTCAGCCAGTGCGGATCAGTTCAGCTGCAGTATGTCAGAGGAGCGAGGAACAGAGATCCGTCTCTCACAGAAACACAGGTGACGCTGAGCAGCTGAGTGTGTTCACAGCCAGTGCGGATCAGTTCAGCTGCAGTATGTCAGAGGAGCGAGGAACAGAGATCCGTCTCTCACAGAAACACAGGTGACGCTGAGCAGCTGAGTGTGTTCACAGCCAGTGCGGATCAGTTCAGCTGCAGTATGTCAGAGGAGCGAGGAACAGAGATCCGTCTCTCACAGAAACACAGGTGACGCTGAGCAGCTGAGTGTGTTCACAGCCAGTGCGGATCAGTTCAGCTGCAGTATGTCAGAGGAGCGAGGAACAGAGATCCGTCTCTCACAGAAACACAGGTGACGCTGAGCAGCTGAGTGTGTTCACAGCCAGTGCGGATCAGTTCAGCTGCAGTATGTCAGAGGAGCGAGGAACAGAGATCCGTCTCTCACAGAAACACAGGTGACGCTGAGCAGCTGAGTGTGTTCACAGCCAGTGCGGATCAGTTCAGCTGCAGTATGTCAGAGGAGCGAGGAACAGAGATCCGTCTCTCACAGAAACACAGGTGACACTGAGCAGCTGAGTGTGTTCTCAGCCAGTGCGGATCAGTTCAGCTGCAATTTGTCAGAGGAGCGAGGAACAGAGATCCGTCTCAGAAAGAAACACAGGTGACACTGAGCAGCTGAGTGTGTTCTCAGCCAGTGCGGATCAGTTCAGCTGCAGTATGTCAGAGGAGCGAGGAACAGAGATCCGTCTCTCACAGAAACACAGGTGACACTGAGCAGCTGTGTTCACAGCCAGTGCAGATCAGTTCAGCTGCACTATGCCAGAGGAGCGAGGAACAGAGATCCGTCTCTATCAGAATCACAGGTGACACTGAGCAGCTGAGTGTGTTCTCAGCCAGTGCGGATCAGTTCAGCTGCAGTATGTCAGAGGAGCGAGGAACAGAGATCCGTCTCTCACAGAAACACAGGTGACACTGAGCAGCTGAGTGTGTTCTCAGCCAGTGCGGATCAGTTCAGCTGCAGTATGTCAGAGGAGCGAGGAACAGAGATCCGTCTCTCACAGAAACACAGGTGACACTGAGCAGCTGAGTGTGTTCTCAGCCAGTGCAGATCAGTTCAGCTGCAGTATGTCAAAGGAGCGAGGAACAGAGATCCGTCTCTCACAGAAACACAGGTCACACTGAGCAGCTGAGTGTGTTCACAGCCAGTGCGGATCAGTTCAGCTGCAGTATGTCAGAGGAGCGAGGAACAGAGATCCGTCTCTATCAGAAACACAGGTCACACTGAGCAGCTGAGTGTGTTCACAGCCAGTGCGGATCAGTTCAACTGCAGTATGTCAGAGGAGCGAGGAACATCACGATACGATACGATATCGATTCTCATACCCAGCGATACGATATTTGCCATACCTAAAAAAAATTCTACGATACGATTACAAATCGATTCGTTACAGGAGTATATATATAATAGGCCTACACATTTTTTTTTTAATAATAAAGAAAATAAACAATTGAAAAAACAATTCTGGCTGCTACTATGGGCTCAGTGCTAAAATCGTTTCTACAGATAACCAAATTACAAGCAATAGCAGAAAATAAATACAAGCACGGATTTAACTACTGATACACATGCCTTTTCTTTCTCAACTATTTACGTTAAGACATATGCCTATCCGACTGTGTTTACTAGGATATTCACCCGCGCATTTTGAAGTAATTTTGTCTGTATTTATTCATCCATGCACAAAAAAGCGGAAAGTCTGGTTGCATGCGCTTCAGATGTATGCGCAGAAAACTTCTCTCACAGCGCTCGACTGTTCCGCCAACAATCCCAAGCGTCTTTTATGCCCACCTTGTGCCTTCGGGCAGTCCTTATATCGAGTCCTGATACGTGAGTTTGAACGAGAATGCACGCGTTGGCGGTAATGCTTAGACAGACATTATGTGAAACTGTGGACAGTGCTAAAATAAAGGTGCCTATTTATACTACAGATATCGATATTTTACGCATGGCTTCGATGCATCGTATCGTCAGACATCATATTGATGTATCGATCCATATCGAGGAATCGTTACACCCCTAATATACAGTCATGTGAAAAAGTTAGGACACCCTATTGAATTCCATGGTTTTCCATATCAGGACATCATAAATAATAAATTAGATGAACAACAACACAAGACACATTGCACCGTATCATTATTTGTTTAACAAAAATAAAGCCAAAATGGAAAAGCCATGTGTGACAAAGACCCTTACTGTTAACATAGGAATTAAGAAGTTAAGTCCGGCTTTGCTAATCAAATGCCTTTGATTAACTGATCATCAGCAAGTGTGAGCCCCTCTATAAAAGCAGAAGTGTTGTCAGTGTGCTGGTCTGGAGCCTTCAGGTGTGTGTTAACACAATGCCAAGGAGATAAGATATCAGCAATCATCTTAGAGAAGCAATTGTTGCTGCCATCAATCTGGGAAGAGTAACACGGCCATTTCCAAACTATTTTACCAATTCCATCAAACAATTCCATCATTCTACAGTGAGGAAGTTTATTCACAAGTGGAAGACATTCAAAACAGACACCAATCCTTCCAGGAGTGGACGTCCCAGCAAATTCACCCCAACATCAGACCGTGTAACGCTCAGAAGAATGGCAGACAAACCAAGAACTTCACCGCAGGCTCTACAGGCCTCAGTTAACATGTTAAATGATAAAGTTCATGACAGCACAGTTAGAAAAATATGGGACAATAAAACAAATGCCCACAAACCTCAATAAACTGGAGCAATATTACAAAGAAGAGTGGGCCAGAATTCCTCCAGAACGATGTGAGAGACTGATAAAGTCATACAGAAAATGATCACTTCAAGTTTTTGCTGCTAAAAGTCAATCTACTGTACATGCAATTGAATCATAGGGTGCCCTTTTTCACACATGGCTTTTCCATTTTGGCTTTAGTTTTGTTAAATATATAATGACACGGTGTGTTGTGTCATGTGATGTTTTTCATCTGAGGTTTTATTTTCCTAATTTTATGAGCTGCCAAGGACCAGATAATCTTTTATTATGCCCTGATACAGAAAAACATGGAATTCAATAGGGTGTCCTAACTTTTTCACATGACTGTATACTGACACATCGGATCAGCTGTTCACGTCCACTTAAGAAATAAATTGTGTTTAAGTCAGTACTATCGGCATTTTGACATATTTGTTGTGTGTATTTGATCGTTTGGACGCACACTCAAAGCCCAAAGTGTACTTTGCTTGTCTGTTTTAGAACGCGCACACAGCCTGGGGAACAGCGTCTCTCGCGCGGATTAATGTGCTTTCAGCGTTTTATCAAACATGTCCCGCAAATTAGCAACAGGAAAGACAGCATTTTACAGCAATCAACGATTGTGCTGATTCTGACGTTTAGTTTGAGTTTTAGGGAGGAATGAATGTGTGTGAAGGAAAAGACGTTGCGCTAAACGCGGCTAGTTTTTAATAGCTTTACCTCATATCATCTTTTTATGATCTTGTGTGTATTTGATCGTTTGGACGCACACTCAAAGCCCAAAGTGTACTTTGCTTGTCTGTTTTAGAACGCGCACACAGCCTGGGGAACAGCGTCTCTCGCGCGGATTAATGTGCTTTCAGCGTTTTATCAAACATGTCCCGCAAATTAGCAACAGGAAAGACAGCATTTTACAGCAATCAACGATTGTGCTGATTCTGACGTTTAGTTTGAGTTTTAGGGAGGAACGAATGTGTGTGAAGGGAAAGACGTTGCGCTAAACGCGGCTAGTTTTTAATAGCTTTACCTCATATCATCTTTTTATGATCCTTGGAAGCCAACATTGAAATCAACAATAAAATTTGCCTAATATCACAGCCACAGGCCTGAAGTGTAAGCAGACAAATGTCCTAGTGTCCTAATATTATTGCATATAAAAACAGCGACTCTGGCTAAATAATATTTGCAAGATAATGTCTATATAGCAATAATAAATGTATGTGTAATTTTCTTAATTTCTCCAATACCGATAGCAGAACCGTTAACATCAGAGCTTATCGATACATCGGTCTTTCATAATTTAGCCCCGGGGCGCTTTTAATACCGGGTTTCGGTACTCATCCCTAATCTTAACAAACTAATACATCGTTGAAAAAAAAGCTTATTGCAAAACTATTTAATAGAAAAATTATAGAAATATATCTCCTAATTAATCTTGATCATTTACTCTTCCTTTTAAGAGCCCATTAAATGAAGCTCTTAAAATGTGTATTTTTGTTTCTTAAAATTATAGCTAATCAACACTTTTGTTTGTCCTTTAACTGATTTATTTATTTATTATTTAAAAAAAAAATATGATTGAATAAATGGTTTGACCATGTATGGATGTAAGATTTGCTTACATTTTGTGGTTCTGTTTCTCCTTTTTCTTGCTTTCCTTGTAGGATCTTGAGAGCAAAATAATCACATTTCTGAAGAAAGAACTGGAAAGGTTTAAGAAAATATTACAAAAAGAGAACACACAATGCTTTGTGAAGGACTTTATTGAGAACAGAAGCAGTATGAAAGAAGCAGCTCTTGATCTCTCGCTCTGCTTCCTGAGAGAGATGAAGCAAGAGGAAGCTGCTGATACTCTCGAAGGTAAGAGACCCACCGTCGGTCAGATTGTCACTTATAGATGCAGGAAAGAAAACAAGATTACAAATATCTGTATTGTTGTCTTTTCTGTGTTTAGATGAGCTGTTCTTCATTCATCAGCTGTGGAGAATACACACCAGATGTTTCCTGGGATAAAGATGCCATCCTTTCAGTGGGGAAACTGGCCTTTCAACAGCTGGAAAGAAACAATGTGATCTTCTATCACACAGACCTGGAGGCCTGTGGTATTGATGTCTATAAGGCATCAGTGTATTCAGGCATGTGTACCCAGATCTTTAAGGAAGAAACAGGGATCACTGTTGGTACCATGTACTGCTTCGTTCACTTGAGCATTCAAGAGTTTATTGCAGCTCTTTATGCACATCTGTTTCTAGACATCAACAAGAAAAGTGTGTTTGATCATGAGTCTACAGAACAGAAAAACTAAAATAAAACCATGTTTGATTTGCTCAAGACTGCAGTGGACAAGGCACTCGAGAGTGATAATGGACACCTGGATCTTTTTCTTCGATTCCTCCTTGGTTTGTCAACATCCCTGGCCATATTGGGCCACCAGAAGCGATCCTTCAGCAGCGAGATGGTGCTGTTGGCCCCTGTGTGGCCAGTGCCCAGAGAAGTGTGGACGGAGTGGATCAGGGAGGTGCGTTGTGCTTTGGTAACATATTGTGCTCCTGGTGGACAGCCCGGCGTAGTAGGCGTGGAAGCATTGGTGGAAGTATCCGGGTTGTTGTTCCATTGGATGGGACTGACGATGATTTCTGTGGGGATTATGGGTTCTGGTTCTTCATTACTTTCTTCAGGAGCATGGAGACGAGAGAGAACATCTGCTTTCACATTTTTGGGGCCGGGACGATAGGAAATGGTGAAATTGAATCGAGTAAAGAAGAGAGACGGTGGAGGTATCCGGGTTGTTGTTCCATTGGATGGGACTGACGATGATTTCCGTGGGGATTATGGGTTCTGGTTCTTCATTACTTTCCTCAGGAGCATGGAGACGAGAGAGGGCATCTGCTTTCACATTTTTGGGGCCTGGACGATAGGAAATGGTGAAATTGAATCTAGTAAAGAAGAGAGCCCATCTTGCCTGACGGGGATTGAGTCTCTTAGCGTCTCGTAAATACTGCAAGTTCTTGTGGTCAGTGAGGACACTGAACGGATGCTGAGCTCCCTCCAAACAATGCCTCCATTCCTCCAGGGCTAATTTGATTGCAAGAAGTTCCCTGTTGTCGATGTCGTAGTTTCTCTCCGCCGGGCTGAGTTTGCGGGAGAAGAAGGCACATGGATGGAGTTTGGCTGGAGTCCCCTGCTGCTGCGAAAGCACCGCTCCTACCCCCGTAGTGGAAGCGTCCGCCTCTACCACGAACAGTTTGGTTTCTCTCCGCCGGGCTGAGTTTGCGGGAGAAGAAGGCACATGGATGGAGTTTGGCTGGAGTCCCCTGCTGCTGCGAAAGCACCGCTCCTACCCCCGTAGTGGAAGCGTCCGCCTCTACCACGAACGGTTTGTTGGGGTCTTGGTGGACGAGGAGCGGTGCCGAGGTGAAGGCGTTCTTCAGGGTGTCAAAGGCCTCCGTGGCAGCTGGTGACCAGGACAGGGATTTGGGCTTGTCTCTCAGCATACTGGTGAGCGGACTGGTTATGGAACTGTAATGGTGAATGAATCTTCGATAAAAGTTGGCGAAGCCCAGGAACCTT